GGGGTTGGGGGAGGGGTTGGGGGGTGATACAATAGAATATTTAGTGACGTAGATGGTGTTCAGTGTATTTCCTCTGTTGCCCAGCTCTTGCTATTGCTATTGCTATTGCTATTGTTCTTGTTACTGTTACTGTTATAGCTTTGTTGTTATTACTACTTCTGCCCTCCCTTCATCTTAACAGTTTCTTCATCACGAGCTATTGCACCGTGTTTATTCAGTGTATGGTACGTTACAGCATCTTATGTTTTCACAGACGTCATCAACAGTTCTCTTTTAATCACAAAAAATCGAACCTCAATCGCGCCCAGGCGTCGACATCTTTCATCAATGAAATTCGCGCCTCGAAAGGTATTGACGGAAGTAAACAATGCTTGTTACCATGGTCCCTACGACGTCGCGCTTACCTGTTGATTAGCAGCATCTGCCATCGACTGCAAAGGGCTTCCGAGCACGTCTTAAGCATCAAAGATTCATGAAGTGGCCGAATATTGAGCTCCTCGAGAGTGGTGTCTCTGTCCAGTATACCCATTCTTTCCTTGCACTGTTCTGCCTGCCCTTTTTCATCTCTTTTTTTCTTGTTCTATTATGTTACACTTTTTTTCTGTATGACTTTATTTTCTCGTTTTCTCTCAATTTTTCTATCTTCATTTATTCCCTTTTTCTTTTTCTCATTGTGACACTTTTTTTTATTTATCTTTCTCTTCCTCTTTTTTTAGTTTAAATTCCTTTATTTATTTCACTCTTCTTTATCTATTTTTTTTCTCTGTTATTCTCCTCGCCCTGTCTTTTTCTCTCTTTCTTTTTAACTAGCTTTTCTGTCTCGCTAGTTGTTGTTGTTGTTGTTGTTGTTTTTTTTGGGGGGGGGGTTGGCCAGTTGCACAAAAGGGTACAAAGTTCACTGACCTTTGGGGTGGTATGTGTACTCAGAGTAAGCCCTCAAGTGTTTCATCGGACAAATCTCGGGGATATTTTACTCTTTGAAGTCGATATGTGGGATTGGGGGGGGGGAGGGTCAACAGTTAGAAAAGAATCTGTAAACTCGAAAGGAATTACTGGTATAAATGATTTTAGGGAGTAGAATATGACTACCGCATTTTTAAAGTCTATAACCTGCTTGCCAACCTTCTACCTACAACCCGCTTACGAAGACCCCAACATACCTGCCACTGTACTATCTTCCTGCTTAGGTCCTCTCGTTGGAATAGGCTAATAAATGTACTAACAAGGTCACCGTAGCTGAGACTGTGCCCACCGTTTCGGAACTTCACTGTGACATTAAAGATGTTTCCAGTAGAAAACTGGATAGCGGGTGCCCAGTGCCCACATCCCTCGTGACTCATCAGGGCAGAGAATATAGGACTAACGCGAATATTTATTTTTTTAACTCTACTAACAGGAGCATGTCTTCTCAATAATTATTTACATAATCACAATCTCTCATCGTCACTTATCACCACAATCATATCTAAAATCACCATTGCTCTCAGATCCTTGACATACATTTATATTTACCTTGAATATGTAACAGTTACATGTTATAACAAATATGTACTTAAAACACTGTTGGACACTATCATACGCACATTTTACTACTAATCAGATAGCATTAATATCATAGGAATGGGCAAGGGACAACCAAAAATATAGAATTTGTAAACATATGCGTATGTTAAAAGTAAAATATTATGTTTTTTCAAAAACGTTCACTAGACACAAAACAATAATTCTATGCCTTGTAAAGTTTTCCTTTCATTTCTTCTACAAGTTCGACACTTAACAATGCGCCAACGGATGTTATTAACTTTAGCTCAGGTTTCAATCGAATCGATAAGCATGCACAGTTCAACCTGTTCAAGACGACCATTCATATGGAGGAGTAAAGTGGTTATCTTAGACAGGTGGTCCTCTTAGACAGAATCGTCATACTATTATAGAAAATACACAAGGGAGAAGTGGGGAGGGGTCGTTTGTGCAGGTGACTGTTTGAGACGGGTGGTCCTAAGAGCAGGTTCGACTTTATTAAAAATGTGTTTATAAATTTGTTGTGTGTGCGGTGTGTATATATTGTGTATGAATGTGTCTGTGCGCATGCAAGTGTTTGTGTGTGTGTTGGGGG